GGAAGGAGACAGTTTTAATTTCCTTCCCCCACTTGATACCTAAACTTTCCTCTTTCTAATTGCTCTGGGATGAAAGCGTTTTGAAGAGGCAGCTGCTGTGTTCCAGGAGACTCTGAGAGGCGGCTCCCAGCCCGATGCCGCCCGGGAGCTCCACTCTTGCCTTCTGCACCTTGCTCTGGTAAGGGAACCAGGCCCACTGGCGGGCCCAGAGCGGGCAGCCGGAGAGCTGGCTGGGATTTCCACAGCGAGTGCTGCTCCTTTCCTCAGGGTAGTGATGGCAGGGATGGGTGAGAAGAGGGGCATGGGCTATGCTGCTGGAAAGGAGGAACAGGTGCCCCTCTCTCTCCCTTCTCAGCAGAATCAGCGAGGAGGAATCCGGGAGCCACTTCTGTCAACTGGGTTCCCACAGCCATTTTCCCAAGCTGGGCCTGGCACCTCAAGCCTCCTGTCTGACATTCGTCCTCCAAGCACTGGTCCAAGAGCCGCTGGCCTTCTGTCTCCACCGCTGCATTATCCCCCAAGTCACCTGAGCCACTGTAACTCGCCCCTTCCCCAGACTCAGAGTAGGAGCCCCCACCCTCTCCATCTCCGGGGCACCTCAAAGGGCTCTGGTATCCTGGGACATCGGCCCCAGCATCTACCTCAGGCCAGATGATGGAGGACCTGTCCCTCATAGGACAAGGCCATGTGTGCCTCCCCTAGTTCCCTGCATATATTGAGATCTTGTAGTCTAAAGCCATAATTAAAGATACCGCTGGTGGCCGTTCCTGTTGCCAAAGAGACCTGATGACAGAAAGGAACCCCATGTCCACTGAAACAACCTTTCTTTGATTCTGAAGCAGATGGTATCCTCTGGGAGCAGTAGAGAAAAATAAAATCCACCAAGGCTAAGGAGGGAACTGTACAGAAGTTCAGGTTTTCAGACTATATCAGACCCAGAAGGGAACATCTGGGGCCTGCTCTGATTTTTGGCTCTGGGCATCTCATGCACCAGCCAGAGATCTGTGCTCAGGAACAGGTTCAGGGGATGCCTGAGGCCTGAGTCCCACCCTGCATCGTGGCAGATGCTCACATCTTCCTGAGCCCAGCCTCACCTTGTTCCTTCTAGCCCCAGCCCCTCATGCCTTGTTTCCTGTCACTAGGTGCACATTCTGACCTCTCCTTTGCCCAGGGGCCTCACCTTCTTCAACTGCCAGAAGGGGTTTACATTTGGGAAATCCCTTACCAGGTCCTGCCTGGAGCTGGCAGGGTACACACATCTCCACAGCCCGCCCACCCGTGCTGGCTCTCCTGCTCATGGGACCCCAGCAGGCACCCCGGCTGCTGCTCCTGTGGCTGTGCTTTCTCCATTCCGGCACTAGGCGTTGTAATGAGCATTTCCCCATGTCAAGTTTACTCAGTATTTCGACCAAGGGTCACTGCCCCCAAAGAAGGCTGTCATTCCCTGCTTCCTGTGTAAGAATCATGATCTTATGGTTTCTCGAAGATCCTGACAGCTGCCCCTGGCTGCTTCCTCCCTAACCCTTCCTGGGACTCTCAGCTCACTGAAATGTGGATCTGCAGGGGACTCCGGCCTCCCAGAATGCCTTGCCTGGAGGAACCGTTCATCAGGAGAAATGATTCTTGCCCCCCTGTGGTCTTGCTCAACACCATTCATAGCTGTATAGGGGATGTTGAAAAACCTTCTTTATACAGGGCTTTCCCAGATCATTTTTGTTTACAGAGCAGGCTCTTTCAGTACTGTATAGCAGAATGAAGTCTGCCAGCATGAGCTGGGTCACCTTGGGCAGGTCTTAACGTCTGTGCCTTAGGTCCCTCATCTGAAAAATGGGGGCAATCCCTACCTCACAGGGCAGTTGTGAGGACTGAAAGTCAAAGTGTAAGAAAATGCCTACCAAGTGCCTGGTACACAATGGGTGCTAAATAAATTGGTTTTTATCTGCAATGGTCCTACATACTCATGATTCCCCCACAGTGGAAAGAGGGGATTATGAGTGAATTGTTGCTTATTTCACAAAATACAGAGCTCTGGGGCTGTGGTTCTCCAAGTGCAGGGCCTGGACCAGCAGCAACCTGGGAACTTGCTGCAAATGCATTCTCAGGCCCCACCCTAGAGCTTCTCAATCAGAAAGGACAACAGTGGGGCATAGCAAGTTGCGTTTCATTAAGCCCTCTGGGCGATGCTGATGCCCACCCACTTGTTCTAGGACCTGGCAGAGGATACACCATCTGGAGACCATTTTGGTGGGCGAGGCTTGAGATTTGTTCATCCGAGGATTGATTATGGGAGGTATGGATTATGGAGAGGAATTTAGGAGGCCTCAAGTGGAAGGAGATTACAGCTCAGAGCCAATTAACTTGACTAAATCATACCTTCCTAACAAGAATTATTTGCTCTGGGGGGCGCCTGGGTGGCTCAGTGGGTTAAGCCGCTGCCTTCGGCTCAGGTCATGATCTCAGGGTCCTGGGATCGAGTCCCGCATCGGGCTCTCTGCTCGGCAGGGAGCCTGCTTCTCTCTCTCTCTCTCTCTCTCTCTCTCTCTCTCTGCCTGCCTCTCTGTCTACTTGTGATCTCTCTCTGTCAAATAAATAAATAAAATCTTAAAAAAAAAAAAAAAAAAAAAAAGAATTATTTGCTCTGGAAGCTCTTTACTCATGCCTAGTTGGGGAGATGTGGTTGTGTTTGTTTGAGAGGTGATTACATTATGATGACTCCATAAAAGGCCTGTTCGTGTGGCCATCTTGTTCTACGCAGCAGGGAGCTACTTCGCTGCTTTGGGGACTCCACTAGGGTTCCTCAAATGGGCACCCATCACCACTGTGCGGTATCTTTGCTTTGAAGCTGAGCTGGCTCTTTGCTTTTCAAGCCTCTCAAAGAAATGTTCCCCTCCCCAGTATCCCTTGACCTGTCCTGGACTTGAATCTTCTCCAAGAGCCACAGGACTTCTGACACCTTGTCCCCATTTTGCCCCACACTCACACTGCTAACTGATAGGGTTCCAACCCAGCAGCCAGAGTTCTGAGTCCCTAGGGTGTAGAAGCACAGTGACCAATCATCCCAGTTTTCCTGGGACAGGGATTTCCTGGAGTGTGGGACTTTGCGTACTGAAGCTGGGAAAGTCTTGGACAAACAAGAATGAGTCAGTCACTCTAAAGGTTCAAGAGAGGCAGCCCTTAGGAAGCAGATGAAGGGAATAAGGAGGGGCCCTGGACCAGAACCAGGGAGTGTGTGTGTATGTGTGTGTGTTGTCTATGTGTACTGAAAGGGCAACACAGGTGTAAAGAATACTTTTCACACATAACGGCTGACAAATTCTTAGCTCTACACCAGTAGTCATTATTTCTGACCATGATGCCATTTTTCCTTCCAGTTGCCCAGGTTTGTGAGGCGGTCAGTGATAGATGCAATATTTGGTCACTGGGATAATCACACGGACTACTCTTTCCTTACAGCCTCCCCCCTCCCCCAAGTCTGACCCTGAATCCCCTCAGCTCTTACCTTCCACAGTGGCCAGAGATCCACTCCTTCCTCAGGCCCCTGCCAGTCCCTGGTCTCCCCTACACTTGCAGGCATATGAGCTGGCTCCAACACTGGTGAACCTCTCCTCTCTAAAATCTCCACCGACCAGGCTCGAGCTATGGTACAAGGCCTAAATTCCTACCTTTGGCCCTTTCTCCTCTGCTTTCTTCATAAACCATTTTCTTCTTTCAGTTAGGCCCAGTCGCAGTTACAGGGACAGAGTGTGCAGTGGCCAAAAGCATGAGCCCGAGTCACCTAGGCAAGCAGGTTAGTGCCAGCCCCACCACTTACAAGCTTCACGACCAGGTGATGGGGTGGTCTTGGGCTTCTGTGATTCAGTCTCTTTACACTTAAAATGAAATTAAAGTCTCATTATCTCCTGGGAAAACTGTGAAAATTAATCCATGCAAATCCCTTGAATTGTGCTCAGTAAGGGGTAGCTCTTGTCTAACAACACCAGGTTCCCTTCTGCCTTCCAGTCTTGTTCACTATCCCTGAAAGAGCCTCTCCTGGGACCTCCACCTGCAACTCAGGCCCTAGCTGACTCCCCTTGGATCCTGGAAAGGTCACTCTCAGAGCATTCTTGAGAATGAGACTGTGGGATCTGGGCAGAAGCATGGAAAGGTCTGAGGGGGGGAGGAAGGGCAAACACGGTGAGAGGGAACCAGGAAAAAGCCTCAGCATGGTCTTGTGAAGATCAGCAGGGATGGCCCTGCTTAGGGGTAGGCCTCTTCCCTCCCCATCACACTGCCAGAGAGTGATTAATTACCAGCAGAATAAATTAGTCTCAGAAATGTCCACCAGTGGGGGTAGGCTGTTGACTTCACCCACAAGGCCCTAAGCCACTACACCAAGCTCCACCTCAGCGGGCCTCCCAATCTTTCTGCCAAGGCCACCATCCTGGCGGGGACACTTCCTGCCCAAGTGCAGGGCAGAAGTCACAGAAGTAGGGTTGTGGCCCTTCTCCCTGGGGGCTTCACTTAGCCTGTGTCCCAGTATAGGGTTCTTTCAGCGGAGGTAGGAGAAGGGTCAAGACCCCATTAACAAGAAACCGCAGGGCGGGGAAAGGGTAGAATCAGGTGGCCACCTAGAGGTTAGAAGCAAGGTCTCCCAGGGGGGGTGAGGGGCTGAGGAGGGGAGAGAATCAAAGACCTGGTGGAGTCCTGCCACCAAAGGCAGTCAGTAGGGGTGGGTCACCCATAGCTACCAGAATCCCATCTCCTACTCCTCGGCTCAAAGTTTCCAGAGCACTGTGAGGGCTGACAAGCACTGGTTCTGAAGCCTGGCAGGATGCATAGGTCCAAATCCTGACCTAGTGGCTCTTGCTTCGTGAAATGGGCATCATTATATCACCGACCTTATAGAGTTGCTACCAGGGTTAAAGGAGACATCGAGTTTAAAGCGCTCAGCCAAACGCGGAATCTGCACAACAATCACCGATTTTGCTCTTACCACCACCGGCGCAGGGATTGAGGCCTCCTGCGACTGAGTCTCAATTTTATTCTCAACAACTGGGAAAACTGAGCGTCTGGACTATGAGCCAGAGAAGGCCGGATCCACACCCTCCCTCCACCCGGGAACCGGAGGGCGCGGGGCACGGAGGTGAAGAGACGGGGCCCCAGAGCCCGGCAGGCAGCGGCTTTGCCTTCAGTCGACCACCTGAATCTCTTCTTCTGTCAGGTGGTGCCCGGAGTCCGGCGGGCCGGGACCGGGGCCGCCATCCGGCCGCTGCAGGCCGCACGGGACTTCGGGAGACAGTGCCCTCAGCGAGGCCACGTCTGCGCGCATCTCCTCCACGTCGCGTCTGAGCTTGGCTCGCCGGTTCTGGAACCACGTGACAACCTGTGCGTTGGCCAGACCGAGCCTCGCCGCCAGCCCGTCACGCTCTGAAGGCGCCAGGTACTTCTGGAAGACGAAGCGTCGCTCCAGCTCCAGCACCTGCTGCGCAGTGAACGCCGTGCGTGATTTTCGCCGCCTGCGGCCCGTGGGGCCGGGGCCCAGCGCACCCGGGGCTGCGCGGCCTGCGAGGATAGGGCGGGGGTCAGTCTCCGGCCTGCGGGAATCGGGCTTCTGCCGGGAGGGGAAGCTGAGGCGGGGGCGGGGTTGCGGGGGTGGGGGCTGTTGGGGTCCGAGGGTAGCTTAAGCCAGGGGCGGGGAGGCAGAGGTGGGAGAAGGCGGACCGGCTCCAGAACCGCAGCCGCTTATCCAACCAGGGTTCAGGCCGAGAGGGGAGTGGGGGGCATAAAGTGAAAAGGGCCACGTGGGTATGGGAGGCAGCAGTCTTGAGGGCATCTTGCGGAGGTGAGGGAGTGGAAGGAGGACGGGCCAGAGACGACTTGGCGCAGAGGCAGGCCATCTGGGGCAGGACCTTCGAGGCCTTGGGACCGGCACCGAGGCGGGGACCGACCGTGGTCAAAGTAGGGGCAGCTGGCCCCGGACGATGAGTGTTAACAGGAACAGGACCATGGCCTTCTAGAGACGCACGGGTCACGATGGGCACTCTCGGTTTACACTTCTTTAATGACACGGCGCCTCCTCCTCCAGCCCAAAAGGGAGGTATGGGGAATCAAAGGGGTAAGGAGAGGCGAAGTACGTCCCCCGATCCCTGCCTCCGCAAGGACCTTCTGCTCCTGTGCGTTCTCCTGAAGAGAGCGGCGTGGAGCGGAGCAAGGTCCCACGGAGAGGCCCGAACCTCGCCTCCCAGCACTTTCTGCACCGCCCTTGCCCTAGCTCATTCGTTTACAGCCTCCGGCTCAGGCCTTTTGTCTCCTCACGGGTCTGTCTCTGTCGCGATTGGCCCGCCTACGGTGAACGGACCCACGGGGCACTCGCTTCTCGACAGACCGACCCTTCCCCTCGGCGCTGGCAGCCTCCAGGAGCGGCCGCGAAGCCTGGGAACTATGGAGGGGAGGGGAGGATCGGGAGATGCAAGTCCCGGCACGTGAGTTGAGGGCAGGGGGCGGATTAGGGTGGCGGCCAGGGTGAACGAAGGTTCGAGACCGGGACCGGGAGGAGACAGATGGGGAGAAGGTTGAGTCAAAGTGCGTGACCTCGCCGGCGCTGTACCTTCAGAGGACTCCGGAGCGTGCCCGTTGAGTCCGAGGAAAGTTTTACTGGTCAGCTCCTCCAGCGCGCACAGAGGCGACATGGGACCAGGGCTCAACTCTGGAAGCTGAGACGTAGAAGATCCTCGGGTAATCCTGCGCGGGCCTAGGATGTCTGCGATGCTGAATAGTGTCCGGGGTGTCCGAGGCTGGGGTCCCGAGTTCATGGCCGCTCGGGTTGTGGCGGTCCCGCCGCCGGATGCGATCCGCTTCGCAGCTGCCTGGGCCCCAGCGCGCGGTTCCCGATCTGGGCCCCCCGCCTGGGACCCGCCCCCAGCGCTGGGCCCGAGCCCCCTGTGCCCCTCCTCCTGCGCCCCCAACCCCCAACTCGGGGCCGCGCGGTGGGTCTGGCGCTAGTAGATAACCCGGCAGCGGTATTTCTACAGGGTGGGGAGGCTCGGAGAGAAGCCCCAGAACAACCTGCCGTACCGGGCCACTGAGCTGCTTCGCGCTGCGGGGTGCGGCCTGGTGCACATTCTGGCTGGACCCTTCCTGGACGGCCCCTAGTTTCTGTGTGTCACTGACTCCCCGCCAAACCGCTGCTCTGGCTCATAAACTAGTCGGCAATAAAATTGCTTCCCCTGGCCCCAGCGGATGGGGATTTGCAAAATTCCGAGGAGGGATACCAGAGCTGAGTGTTCTAGGATGTCCGATCTCTCCTAGGAAGGACCTCAGTCTCCCGTCCTAGCCCCCTCGTCCCCGCCCCACCCCTGCGGAACGCTCTTAAAGAGGTCCTGGCGGCTGGAAGTTATTAGTGCGGCGCGAGGGGGCTGGGGGGAACTCGAGACTCGGCAGGACCTGGCCTGGCAGAGAGTCTGCAACCGGGAGCATTGGGGATGCAATGTGGAAGCAAAGGCAGGTGAGCGGACTCCTCTGGCTCTCTGGACCCAGGCCAGTCCACCGCGACTCAGAGGCCCTGGGAAAGTCAAAACACACGAAGAAGCGGAGGAGACCTGGGCCCCAGGAGAGAGGACATAGCAAATCCAGAGCTAGCGCTACTGCCTGGGCTGGTCTTTGCCAAGGAAGTCTGGCCTCCACAAAGACCCATCAGCCGATCTGTCTTTGCCTCCTTATTAAGCTCCTGTAGTTCAAATAAGGATTCCCCAGCCTGGGAAGCCCAGAAACCACTGTGTAGGAGCAGCAATGGGAAGGGCCACTGGTCACGCCTCATAGAAAAGTGACCTGAATGCCAGACTTCATGGACCCAACCAGATCCTGGGACAGAAACCCCTGCCACCTCGGGGACAAACTCTAAGGTCTAATATATTCATTCCTTTTTTCTTTTTAAGATATTATTTGAAAGACAGCACACAAGGAGGAAGCAGGCTCCCTGCTGAGCAGGGAGCCCGACCTGGGGCTCAGTCCCAGGACTCCAGGATCATGACCTGAGCCAAAGACAGACACTTAACCGCTTAACTAACTGAGCCACTAAGGTGCCCCAGGGATATTCATTCCTATCCGATTTGTGTCCTTTTCTTTCTTTTCTCCCCCACCTGTTCTAGTACTTAGCTCACACCTAGGTGAGCACTCCACAGTGCTCCTTTGTAGGAAGAAGGCAGCTCTGGGAGAGGGCTGCTTCACCAGTGGAGGCCCAAGAAGGCATGTTTTGTTCACATAAACATGCCCAAATAGCTAGGGGATTCACAGCTGAGAAAGAGAAGCCCCACCACTCCCAAGGAGCTCACCATTCCTAAGGGACATGCCTCCACAGGATTCTTCTGGTTTTTTCCAACAGTGCCAAGAAGAAGTCCCTCCTGGACTGGCCATCACATCACCTCTGTAGACCTCTGCACCTCCCACTGCTTGTGCAATGACCCTCTGTGCCTATTCCCGGGGGCAAGTGGAGCCTGCAGTTGAGGTGCCCTAAACAGAGCTTGGGAGATCTAAGGCACCTGGGCCGAAGACTCTTTAACAAGGACCAGAAGGCGCTTTGATGGTGGGGGTGAGGGAACCTCACATAGCCCAAGGCACTGGCCTGGCCCACCACCAAACAGAGGCGGAGAAACACCGGGTCCTCTTGGTAAGACCCCTCCCCGCTCCCCCAGACACACTCAGTACGCTTGCAGCCTGAGCAGCACACTCAGCCCAGCGGGCCACTGCTGGGGCTGAGAGCAGAGCCAGGCCACGGCAGAAAACCCAAATGCCTCAGGACCTTGCTAATTGGTTACTAATGGGGGGGGTGGTGGAAAGGGGCCAAGAGAGACCCTCCTGGCTGGAAGCCTCAGTCCTCTGAGGTTTCACTTAATCTGCATTTAAAGAGGGTCTCAGGAGCCTGCTGGAATTGCCTAGCTCATGTCCCAAGCCTATCACCAAACAGACACTCCTGTGTCCTCTGTGTAGCTTTTAGGTCATCTCTTCCTCGCTCTCAGTTACTAGTGTATTTGTGGGGAGTACCCTCTCTCCTGAAGGGCCTTTGCCTTCCTCCTCTTCCATCTCTCCCGCCTATCTTCTCCCCCCCCAGCAACCAGGCTCAAGTAATGCGGTTGGACAACGGAGTTGGGCGATCCTCATTTGGGGGACAAGAAAGAGAAGGAGAGACTAGTAAAGGCAGAAGGCCACTGACAGCAGAGCCTGTTAAGGTCAGCCCAGCGGCCAGGGACGTGTCCAGACGATGGTGAGGCCACAGTAGGGGACTTCTTCCAGCAAAACCTCTGGAACCTGAGCTGGGAAGAAACTAGATCCGCTGATGGGGGTAGGAGGAAGGTGAATGATTAATGAGGGAGATTAAGAGATGAAACCTGGGTTCTGGGTTGGGGGTGGGGAGGAGGTTGTGGAGCTCAGCTGTCTTGTAGGCTTCCCTCACCCATACCTCCCACCCCAGGGTCCAACGCTCCCTGTCCCGGGCCTCCTTCACAGAGGGATTCATAGATACGCACCCCCCCACCCCCCCACCCCCGTCTGTGGTGGAGGTTTTCCTCTCTCAGGATTCTCAAGCAACCCCTTGTGGTCTCCCATCTACTCGGATTCCCCTCATTGTCCTTTCAGACATTTGGGGTCCTCTGCTCCTCCCTGTTATCGAGATCCCCACATTCCAACTTTCACTCCCTCAGGAAGATGCCTCTACTCCTATTTAAGGATGCTTTCTCACACCTCTGTTCATCACCCCCTTTCAGATGTCCTTTTCCTTGTAGCCCCACCTTCTCCCTCATTCCCTGATACCGTACGTCTCAACCACCTTGCCCACCTCAGCCTCCCATCTGGTGGGTTCCCTGACCCAGGCTCACCCCAAACTGATGCCCCTCTTCTTGGCAGAGATCTGCTCAATAAACAACCTTCAGTCTCCAAATTTCCCTTCCGGCGCATTCCTTTGAATTCTGTGAATGTAAAGGGAAGACTGGGGGAATCTTCGGAATAACCCCCTCAGGGAGGTGGAAGGACAAGAACAGTCATAGAGAGGTGCTTGGCTGTCCCTTTAGACCCTTAGGGAAGTCCCTTAGCCCGTGAGAGGGAAGTGCGAGTTAAGGGAGGAAACTCCAGGCAGCGGGGCAGGGCGGGGCGGGGCGGGGCAGCCCTTCATCTATCACACTTTTGAGCTTGTTTTCTCTTTCAGAAAATGTTGCGGAAAAGAATTGACTCAGAAACTTAACATTTTAGTTTCATTTCTGGAGGGCCTTGCTTGGGTCTGTGATCCTGTGGCAGCCCTGTACGCTGGCTCACCGCCCCCGTTGATCTGTGGTTATGGAGGTTGTGTGCGCCAGGGGAGTGGCAGGAGACTCAGACCCCATCCTCGAGAGAGACACACACACACACACACCACCCTACCCCCTCTGAGACCCACTACTCCACCACCAGTGAAGTCCCTTTTCCCTCCTTTTCTGCCCAACCCTGGTGCTGGGAGAGACGGGCCAGGCTGAGAGGGACTGGTTCTCCCCTGTGCCAAAGGTGAGGGCAAATCTCGGTGCCCCTTTCCCCCAGGTGAGTGTGGACAGCCGAAATGGCTAGATGAGAAGGGGACGGGGCAAGGGCCAACTCGACCCAGCAAGTGAGGACTGACTGACGCCTCCACCCAGAAGTGCCGCAAGGTCAAGGGCAGCACCCCCTGGAGAAGGCCGGCTGAGAGCTGGCCTCTTGAACACAACCAAGTGACCAAGCGCATTCTCGGTTGCCCAGCTCAAGAGAACTGGGCTTGATTCTCCCCGTGGTGCAGTTCTTAACCTGAGTGACCCTGGGGGACGGACTCTGTGAGGCGCATGCCAGGGAGGGGATAAGGGACTCGTAAACAAGGGAAGAGCAGCGCTCGGCCCTCAGCCCACAGCTGGCCTGCATCAGTCACCTTGGGAGACGGGAGATGCACTGCAGCTGCCTCTGCCTCTGCCACAGCCGCTGACAGACACAAAGAAGGTTCTGCTGAGCTGGGCGCGAGGGGAGGCTGCCTGCTGCACCCCAGAGCCCCGCCTGAGCACCTTCTGCTGCCCCTTGGCCTCAAGCCATGCGCTGTTAAAAGCCTCATCCTGAGGCCTGGTTCCCAGGTCAGCCTTATCTTCTGACTGGGCCTTCTTGATGCCAAGCTGCTGCCAAGCCCCAATCAGACGAGTCCCCAACTCCTGCAGCTGCTTGGGGACCCAAAATATCCTTAGGAGCATTTCTACTCTCTTTCCCCCTCAGCCCACACCTCTGGCGGTCGTGGTGGTGGTGTTAATTCCTTAAAAATGCCCTTCCACCTGCAAACCCCTGGAGAACAGCCTCGGTGGGGCATGCTTGAGTGGAGCCCATGCCGTGAGTCCCAGAAGACAGGGGAGGAGCCCAACGGATGCAGATATCATTGACCCCAAACCTCAAGATATATGCTGGTTTAGAGGCAGGCACAAAGGGGTGCAAAAAGCCTGGGTTCTGGCGGAGAGAGGGTTTCCTGGAGGAGGTGATACTTGGGCCTTGAAAGAACAGCTGGGTATGGGGTGAGGGAGAAGTATTCTAGGCATGAAGTCAGAAACGTGCGACGGTTTGGGAATCGTGGAGATTCTGTCGGGCTGAAAGTTCTACAGTGTCCCCGCCCTGGTCCTCACTGTCTGCCCATTACACTTGAGGGCTCTTCCTTGCTCTCTGCAGTCCCTCCACACTGTGCTCTTCTCGTGACCTACAAGCTTCATCTGTGTGTAGGGAAGGCCAGGTCTACTGTGCACTGGTCACTATGCTCAGGCCCCTCAAACATACCACTCCCACCCCGGGACGCCCCAGGCTCAGGTTCTTTAGCCAGTTCACACCGTCTTCACGGAACTCCTCCCCTAGGTCTTCTGCCCCCATCTTTATCCCTGGAAGCTCCATGCCTTCAGCCCTCCCCAGCCATGCACAATGACCCCTTTGAATTCACTGGAGTCAGACTTGGGCCCGTAGAAGACTTAGGCTTCAAAGTTGAGTTCTGGCAACATTGATGCTGCTGGCTCCTTTCCCATTCGTCCCAGATTCAGCCACAGCCCATTAGCTTCCCTCAGGAACTTCTTCCTCCATCTGTTACTGTCCCAGTCAGACAAGTTTCTGACTACCCTACTGAGAGGCTACAGAACAGGGAGACTGGCTGAATTTATGTCCAGAGTCCAAGGCTCATGTCTGGGCTCATACAGTCAAGGAATGTTTGCTGAATTAATCAAGGAAATTAACAGCCTTGCTGCTTTCCTCTTGTTACCTGAAGTTGCCTTTGCTCTCCTGGGCACCACCTTCCCTCTCCTCACCCTAGCTTCACCTGATCCAGGTACCTGAAGGCCTACTGAATCCTGTATGGACAAGCATGTCTCCAACTCAACACCCTTGTGCTGTGTCCTAACCCCCTATTTTAAAAAAATTATTCTTATATATTTTTTAGATTCTTTGGAATTTTCTTTAAAATATATCAATCTTCGGGGTGCCTGGGTGGCTCAGTGGGTTAAAGCCTCTGCCTTCGGCTCAGGTCATGATCTCAGGGCCCTGGGATCGAGCCCCGCATGGGGCTCTCTGCTCAGCAGGGAGCCTGCTTCCCCCTCTCTCTGCCTGCCTCTCTGCCTACTTGTGATCTCTCTCTCTGTGTCAAATAAATAAATAAATAATATATCAATCTCCTTCAGTCCTGCAGTGGTCCCTGTCCAACCCTAGCCCTACCCTCACTGCTCTTGAGTTAGGACACCTCCACTCAAACCTGTAGCATATGCTACAAAATTCAGGTACAGTGAAAACTCCCCTCCAGAAAGCCTTCCCTTCACCCCCCCCCCCAAAAAAAAAAAAAAAAAAAAAAAGGCTGGTATGGGTAACCTGGTTCCACTTAGCTCACCTTCTGAGTTTTATATGTGTAGGGTCCTCTACCCCTCTCCTTTGCCTCTCCTTTGGCAATTCACTGAGGGACCACGGACATAGAGAGGCCCTCCTTCAAGATGAAACTCAGAGGATTTCTGAGGGAAGCAGAACACAGAACAAAGCATGAGTATGTGGAAGGAAGAAAGGAAAAAAAACAGATGCTTTTTAAAGTTTTTATTTCAAAAAATAAAGCCACAGTTTATTTCACATAAATATCTGGGGAAGGAAGGGGACAGGGATGTAGCGGGGGCTTGGCCCCTACCTCCTCTTCTCTTTCACACTGTATTGTAAAAGCAAAGGGGATGGCTAAGGAGAGAACAAGCAGAAGAAGCAGTCAGTGGGAGCTTCTAACCCAAAACGCCCCCTCAGCCCATTGCTGCCCTGGGGACTGCCTTGACCCCAGCTTACCTTGCCAAACCAGCGGGACAGCCATATCTGCTTCATGGTCATGTGATCTGGGAGAACTTCATTATCAAAAAGGAGCTGTACCTAGGAGGGGAAATGGGGGCACAGCTTTACAAACTGCTCTCTTGGGGTGTCTGGGTGGCTCAGTGGGTTAAGCCTCTGCCTTCGTCTCAGGTCATGATCTCAGGGTCCCGGGATCGACCCCACATTGGACTCTCTGCTCAGCAGAGAGCCTGCTTCCTACACTCTCTCTGCCTGCCTCTCTACCTACTTGTGATCTCTTGCTCTGTCAAATAAATAAATAAAATCTTTTAAAAAAAAACCCAAAAAACTGCTCTCGCATGTAGGTCAAGAACTACCATGATCTATTACAGATTCCGTCCCTCCCTTTCAACCCCTTCCTTCCCCAAAAACCTACTGTAGAAATACTTACATGCTGGGGATTTAGCATTAAGCGGTGACACAGGACCCTCCGGAGATGACGAACCTCAGCTCTAACAGAACATCGGACGTATTTGTTCTGGGGACAGGGATGGAAGGCAAGAGGAAAGGTGTGTCAGGGAAGGGCCACAGGGAAGTGAGTGTCCTTAGAGAGGCCATCCCCTCAGCCCCTCTCACCTGCAGGATGCTTTTATTCTTGTCTTTGCCAGAACTGGGGGAAACAAACACAAGTTAGGGAGTCTGATCCTTCCCAGTTCCCACCCAGCACTATGGTATACTCTCTTCAAGGGAACAGACACTCCCTCACTGCAAGCCCCTCCCTGGTTCTGAGTCACTGACTGTTACTGCAGACAGTTCAGGACCTGCTCTTTACCTCAGCCGTTCCAGGCACAGGCTCAGCTGCTCATCATAGCGATAGTAGTGGGCTTTTGAGTGGTCAAAGCTGCTGAAAGGGAGGCCGAGGTTGCTCAGGGCTGGCTCTAAGAAATAGTGAGGACAGTGGCACAGATTCCATATTCCTTTTCCCCCAGAGAGCAAAACTGGGCAAGAGGGATGTTCTGGGGGCTTTTTCTTACCCTCCTGCTGCCAAGGGACATACCTTCCCCACTGGGTTGGGTGACCCGGTCCAAGCCTCGAGACTGGTAGAATTCTCGAATCCGTTTCTCTTCACCTAGAAGGGAGGGGAGTGTGGGAAATAAAGTATTAACCCTCCCTTTGTCCCCATGACTGTCAACCTCTTTACCTATGTGATTCCCACCAAAGCCCTTGTCATCTCCAGCATCAGTCCTCTAGAGGCCCCTCAAAGTTAGGTTGGTCACTCACTGTCTTGTAGGCCAGGCACTAGCTTGTACACGATGTCCTGCATGACCCGGTCCAGTTTGAGGTTGAGCAGTGGCTGTGTCTCGTGGATCTTGATGTTGCACATGGGGCAGTACTTACTGGTTTGGAGGTACTTCACAATACAACTCTTGCAGACTGCAGGAAGAAAAAAGTAGACTCTTGGGCCCGCTGGGGATGGGGTTCGTGCCCTAGGTAGGGTGCCTGGGTGGTTGGCGCAGGCAGCCAGCAGTGTGGCAACCGGCTTGATGGGGACTAGGGCCTGGAAGAAGCAGCCAGGGTCCAGGGCACTCACACGTATGAAGACACTCTGTGATGGTGGTAGCATCCACGAAGTAGCCAGCGCACAGGCAGCAGACGATGTGCTCATTCAGGTCTTTGATCTTCACTCGGACCTCCTCCTGCGGATCCACTCTCCGTCACCGATCACCCCCTCCAACCCCAATCTTACGCCTTCCCAGCTCGGGAGATGCCTTTCAACAAACCCCACGGACAAGTCTCGCACCCTGCGCGGTCCACAAGGGATTAGTTCCCGGGAACGGACACTCCCCCTCCGCCCAGCAGGGGGCTCCGCGCCCAGCGGGGGCTCCCTTCACTTGGACTCGCCCGACCTTCCTTTCCCAGGGGAGACTACACGACGTGGGCGGCACAATGCGCAAGCGTCCTAGCTCGGAGTTTGGCAACCCGACCGCAATCGCGCAGGCGCATTGGGTACCCTGTCTCTGCGCAGGCGCACTGGGCGCCAGGCCAGCCACCGCCCGTCCTCCAGCCGGCCCCAGTTCGCACCGCTAGCCGACCACAGCAGTAACCCTGCCGCCCCTGCACCTCGTTCCGTAGCGGGTCCATCTTGTACACTGACTGGAGCTGGTTCCGAAGCCTCATCGCGATCGCAATCTGGCCCCCCTGAGGAGACGCCATCTTAAAGGCTGATCCCGGCCTGCCACTTCCGGTGCCGCCTGCGGGGCGGGACTTGTCGCCCAGCAACGAGGGCTTAGGTCTTTTCGGATTCGCTGACCCTCTGTAAGGCCCCGCCCATGTCCCTTTCTCCCCGTGTGCTCACCTGAGCCCCACTGGCCCCTCCCCCTCCTCAATCCGTAATTAAGGAGGGGGGTTGTGGGGAGGGGGTCCTATCTCACAGAGCTCTTGTAGTAATCATCACAATAGACCCTACCCTACCCCGGGACTAACTTTTGGAGCCAGCAAAAGACTGCCCCCTTCTACCCCAAAGGGCCCAGCGGTCTCCGCCCGCCGCCGATCAGGGTCATCGATCTCCCGTGACCAGGACCCCGCTAGAGAAACCCCTCCTGGGTCCTTTCCTCGTACTGTAGCCCTCGTCGGCTGACGCGTCCACGTTACGGATCTTCATCCGAATGGCAGGCCTTCTCCCGGCTCCACGGCGGGAGTTTCTCCGGGCTTTGCGGAGTCTCGGAGAGGGTGGCGGGGAGGGAGAGACCCCCAGGGACTTGGTGTAGTGCTCTTATTCTCCCCCCACTCCCCTGCCGCCGGGGCTTGTGGAGGGGGGGGGGGCAGACCCCTGTTAATGATGATGATTCAATCATCGGCGCCTGCGGAGGCCTGGGACAGACTAATGCAGAGCAGATGCCGAAGGAGGAGGGGAGGAGGATTGGGACACTACGGCACATAGACACGCCGAAGCAGCAAGAGACTGCAGTAGCATAGGCCCAGCCCCTCAGGAGAGTCTTAGGAACTCTAGACCTTGTACACCGCGATCTCTAGGTAAGCCCCGTACTCAGGAGAGTCTTAGGAGCTCTAGACCTTGTACACCGCGATCTCTAGGTACTTCCAGTGGGACTGAAAACCAAGGATAAGTTTACTGTGAAGTATTAACATCAAGTGTAGTTGGGAGACTCAAGGGAATGATCCCAGTGAAGACCACCCAGGGCGGTCTTCCTTTCTGGAAGAAGTGGGACATTGTGTGGGCACAATTTAGAGAATAGGGTTGGGATGCGTGGATAAGAAGTATGGTGGGAAAAGAAAAAAAGGCAGAGTGAAGGGGAATGACTGGAAAGACGAACAGGAAGGCCACGGGGTGGATTTGAGAGTAGTGATAGAAGCAAGGCCTCGTGGGGCTGGGACTTTAGCCTAAGGGCAATAGGGAGCTAGCAGACATTTTTTTGAAGGGAGGGAGTTACCCTATGAAAGAAACATTTTTGCTCATTTATCTTTGAATAATTGGAGTGGATAAGCAGCAAGAAAATATGAGATTAGTGATTTTTAAATCAACCCCTTCTCACTACAACCACTGCTTACCTCCCCAGTCCAAGATACCATCATCTGTCCTCTGGATGATTGATTGCAGTGGCTTCTGGCCGGCTTTCCTTGCTCCACGTTTCCATATGAATAAAAAGGATATAAGGAAAGTTTTTTGAGTTGATGGATGTGTTTGTTATCTTGATTGTGATGGCTTCATGTGTGTACACATACACTTTTATACACTTTAAACATGTACAGTTTATTGTATGTTAATTTACCCTAAGAAACTTGTTTAAAGAAAAGCACAATATTTTAAAATCAGGCATCTTTTCCTTAACCTAATAGCTTCCATTTTCAGAATAAAAGCCCAAGTCCTATAATGCTTCAAGGCCTTGCATGGTCTCTCCAGCCATACTGGACCCCTTACTGTTTGTTCCACAGATAACACCAAGATATACTTGCATTATCACCAACTTGAAATGCTCAGATATCTAAACGATTCCTTTCTTCCTCCAGGTTGTTATTCTGTGAGGCCCTCTGTGATCACTTTAGATAAATCACGACCCCTGTCCTTTCACTTTCCCCCTTTCCTTTGTTTTCTTCTTAGCATTTATTATTATTTAATATATATCTTGTGTTTTACCTGCCTCCCCCGCTAGAATATAAGCTTTGTATGGCAGGGATTTTTTTTTTCTTCTGTTGTGTCTGCAGCTCTATTTCCAGTGCCTGGTGTGTGGTAGGAGTTCAATCAAAATTTTCTGGATGAACAACTGAATAAATGTATGTTGTGGTAATGATGGCCTAGATTAGGTTGTATCAGTGGGAATGGGAAGAAAGGGCTGCATATGAGACATTTCAAAGGGAAGCATAGGAGGGAGTGAAAGAGGAGCTTGGGAGGTGAAAGCCTCCTCCAGCCTGCCGGACTTTAAGGTGGCTGCCCCAAAGGCAGGTGGAGCTCACCAGAAGGTTAGGACAGAGGGTTGGAACACAAGAAGTGTCAGAGCCAAGGATAGAGGTCCCAGAGTTTTCTGAGTGGATATAAAAGATGGGACTATTAGAACAGATGAAACCTTCAGCAGATAATAGAGAGGGAAAGCTGAAGTCTGAGCTCTCAGAATGCTCAGTCTTCAGTGGAAAAAGTGAAGTCGGTGGAGAAAAAAATGTAAGCCTTGACTACGGGAGCCTAAGATGTAAAATAAGACAGTATTACAGAAACCAAAAGGGATATTTCAAGAAATATTTGGTAATCACCAGAGCAAAATATGTCAAGAAATCCTTGATAATAGACACCGGAGCTCTTTGAAAAAGAGTGTGGTAAAGCCAAGTTGTAGTGGATTAAAATAATAAAGGATGAGGGGCACCTGGCTGGCTCAGTCAGTAGAGCCTGCTACTCTTAACCTTGGGGTTGTGAGTTCGAGCCCCACACTGGGTGTAGAATTACCTTAAAATTAAAATTAAAAGAATAAACGATGAGGAAGTAGAGGAAGTGGTTGTGTGGAGTACAAGGGAAAGGAAAAACATAATCTCTCTTGAAGAGTCAGGCAAAGATTTTTGTCCAGGTAAAATAGACCCAAGACAGTTGGGAGTAGGAAGGACTAAGCTAATGAGAGAAATGATGATGATACAGAAGTGGGGACCATCTCATGGGAAAGATACTGCTCAAAAAGCAGGAAAGAAGGGACGACACTGGAGCACAGGCTGGGGACATGCCTCTTCCTGTGAAGCTGCAAGTTTGAAGGCCTGAAAACGAAGGTTGGGGACCACATGCACATAGGGGTCCTGTGCCTGGATGGAGGGGCCCTGACCTCCATCTTAGATATAAACTAGCAGGAACCACCTTTTCCAGGGAATTGGGATCAAAGAGCTGGAGACAAGCAGAGGAATTCCTAGGACTGTGGCTGACAGAATTGAATACTCTTTTTTCTTAAAAATAGGGCACTCATTTCTTTTTTTGTAACTCTCCAGAAGATGTATATACATTACTGGGTTTGTGACCATTCTCCTCCAAGGGTCAGCTGGGCGATCTCTGGATGGCAGTGCCATCAGGGCTGACCTCAAAAGGCAGGGTGAACTGTCAGCAGGAATACAGTTCTTCCTTCCTCACTGATTCATTCAAAAAGGATTTATTCAGCCTGATTGCAGACACACTAGAGCCCAGCCTTTCCTCAGAGGTCCATGCACTGGAGTGGAGAAAAGGACTGACAGATTCTTAACCTGCAGGACAGCGTCTTTACTTACTTTGCTGTCTCCCTAGGCTCTCCGTTCTCATTCAGGGGATCCAGCCCAAATGGCCTCTGGAGGTTTTCCCTGCCTGAACAGCAGAAGTTTCATGGCCCCTAGTAGCCCCACTTCTCTACTGCTGAGAAAGGGTGCTTGGGCTTCAGTGAGGGACTAGGGGAGGTGATAATGTCTGTCTTTTCCACCAGCCTATCAAGATAACAACACAGCTACCAAACTGGTGGGAGCGCCCCCTCCCACCCCCACCCCGCCCCGCCTTAAGAAAGGGCTATTTGCAGGGTCAGAAAGGGCTGGGGAAAATGGATAGTGGAAGTGGACGAGAATTTGGGGAAGGAAGTCACATATTACTGATGCTGACTGCCTCCCTCCTCTGTGGTTCACCCCCTTCAGACTGAGGCTTCTGAGAACTTTGAAGGAGGGGGTGGTGGCTTTAGTGGGGAGAGTCCATTCCCTTCGCTTTTTTATCTTCCTGCCCAGATGCCCAAATACCGCTCGCAGTTCCCTGGAGAAAAAAGACCCCTTCACCCTGCCTCAGGCGCAGGGCTTCAGCCCATCTGCTGGTGAGAAAGGAGGGGCAGTCTTTCCCAGGAGATCCTGGAGAATCAACTGGAAGATCCGTGCACCGAGGGAGACCCATCTACTAGACTTGGAAGGCATTTCGGCTTACACGGGTAGCAAGACGACTGGAGCTGAGCACCAGAGTGGGGTGGGGTCTAGGGGCAAGGGCTGACACAGCAGGGTGGGGTCCTTTGGCCACCACGTGTCCAAGGCAGGCCGAGCGGCTCATCCGTGCCCACCCGTCTCGGAATGGTAGGAACAGCCCCCCTCCCTGCGCCCAGTCTCACCGGCTCAGAGGCGCCAGGGCCCCCCCGGGGCCGGGGCGGGCCGGGGAAGGTAATGTAATTCCGACCCAGCTAACCCGATTATGGCGGCCTGCACCGGGCCGGGCGGCGGCGGGGGCGGGTCTAAAGCGCAGGGGCCCGCCGGGCCCGGGTCCCATCCCGGGAAGGACGCAGAGTTCACACACTCCCAGCTCCTGGGTCCCCGGCCAGAGGTCACAAGGTCACAGAGCGCCTTCAGTCTTTCCCCACCTCCCATCCCTGACACACTCCAGGCACAGTTTCTGGAGTTGGGTGGGTGAAGGGCCTGTGGAAAATGACGCGGCTGAGACCGCCGAAGGCTTCAATAAGGACCCACGTGTCGCCTGTGGCGATTTTGTCCTCTCGCCTTTGAGGGGGAAGTGTTTGAGAATTGACTTCCTAGGCGTAGAGTGGAGCGGCAGAGTCCCGCGTTGGTGGTCCCCTGTGGGGGGCAGAACGCCACCCCCAGGCTTTCATCCGCCTGACTTAGCCTGGGTTGAGCCAATGGTACGCTTTACACCGATTTCGGAAAATCGAAATTCTAAGAAACACAGGGCACCGGTTACTGGGGTTCGGGGAAGAAGGTAGGGCCCCTACGGCAGAGGCCGGGAGGTGCACCAGGGTCGCTGGCCTGGAGTGGTTGCTCCCCGCCCTAGCCCACCAGACGCGCCCCGCCACCGCCTTCCCACACCTGTCCTCTTCCCGAGCCTCCAAATCGCCGGCGCCGTTCCCAACCGCTTCCCATCAAAGCCAGGAAGCCACAACGAGATTTGGTCTTCGAGGGCACTTAGGCGGGGGCCACAACGAATCTGGGAGTCGGCAAGCAGGACCCATCGCGAGGCGAAAATTGGGGCCTGTGGGAGAAGACACCTGCGAGGAAGCCGGTGTGGCCGAGGAAGCCCAAAGGCGGAGGCCGGCGAGGATGGAGTTGCTGTGCGCATCTCGCCTGACTCAGCGCGCAGCAGCCCTTGCTCCGGCCCCTCCCGTGCTGAGCCTGGTTCCTAACACCCTTGCCACCTCCCCCCTTATCCCCACCATCCCCGCCCGCCAGTTGTCCCGGCGTTTGGCTCAAACAGGCGTCTCTTTCCCTTTAACGGGTACGGCCCCGCCCCTGCCCTACCCCCAGCCCCCACTACCCACCCAGTGCTGATCTGTCAGTCACTGCCCCATCCCCAGCCGGCCAACCCTCTCCACCCCGGACTCGGGCAGAGGCCCTGGCAGCCCAGCGTCCATCTGCGCCTCAGGGACAGCAAGGGCGCTCCTGGGGCCCCCGCCGGTCGCGCTCCCCCGGGATGCGAGTCCCTGCGCCGACGCCCGGCAGAGGCCGGCACGGGCGCGGCTACTCCCAGTGCACAGGGATGAAGCTGTCCCGGGGGCCCCGGAGACCCGCAGCGGCCAGCCCCGCGGGCCCCTGAGGCTGCCGCCCCGAGCGCTCCGCTACTGGGTTCCCAGAGTTGCCTGGGGCGACCTCCCCAACCGCCAAAACTCCGGTGGTCCTCCTTGACCCGGACCCATGGAGCCGGCGGTCCTGGCCTCGCACAACCTTCCGCACCACGAGCCAATCAGCTTTGGCATCGATCAGATCCTGAGCTGCCCGGAACCCCCCGGGAGCGGCCTAGGCCCCGGTCGCGCCGGCCAGAGCCATGGGGAGAGTGCAGCGTTCTCGGGTGGATTTCACGCAACCTCAAGCTATGGTCCAGCGGGTTCGCTGGCCCCGCTACCTGGCAGCTCAGGCATGGGCCCAGGCGGCGTGATCCGCGTCCCGGCGCATCGTCCAATGCCAGTGCCTCCGCCCGCGGGAAGCGCGCCAGCAGTGCCTGGACCCTCGGGCTTGGGCGGAGCCGGGGGCCTAGCCGGACTCACCTTCCCTTGGATGGACAGCGGCCGCCGCTTTGCCAAGGACCGGCTCACGGGTGAGATTGCCCGACCCTCCAGCGTCCAGCCCCACATTGACCCCTTTTCCTCATCTTTGATCCTTCTGCTCCGACTCAAGTTCCCCGTACGCTCCCCTCCCGGATCGTCCCAGGGGATCCTCCCCCAACATGTTTCTCTTGGTCCTGATGCTCAGAGAGGCAATGGGGAGGGAGCTGCCGTCGATGTCCGCGCCCTCCTTTGCAGCCCACTGTCCATACCGCGGGTAGGGCAGGGTGAAGTTCCGGGGGCTGCTTCTTCCTCACCCAAGGGGGGAGGGCCATTTCTTCCGAGGCCCTTTCTTGTCTGGAGGCCTTTGCTGGGATGGCGCCCGGCTTCGAACATCTGGAAGGGCCGCCCTGAAAACCCTGCCCTGTTTCTTCTTCCTCCCTGTAGCTGCACTCTCGCCCTTCTCCGGGACGCGGCGCATAGGCCACCCCTATCAAAACCGGACCCCCCCAAAGAGGAAGAAGCCGCGCACGTCCTTCTCCCGCTCGCAGGTGCTGGAGCTGGAGCGGCGCTTCCTGCGCCAGAAGTACTTGGCCTCGGCGGAGAGGGCAGCGCTGGCTAAGGCCCTGCGCATGACCGACGCACAGGTCAAGACTTGGTTCCAGAACCGGCGCACCAAGTGGCGGTGAGGCTTGGGGCGAGCGAGGGCTCGCGGGAGGCGTCAAGTGGTGGCGCGGCGCGGGGCTGGGTTGGAACCGCGGGCCCGGCCGGTGACGAGGCGCGGGGTGGGCGCGGGGTAGGCGAGGGCCGGCCTAGCTGACCCCGCGTTTCCGCTCGCCTAGGCGCCAGACGGCGGAGGAGCGCGAGGCGGAGCGGCACCGCGCCGGCCGGCTGCTCCTGCACCTGCAGCAGGATGCCCTACCGCGGCCTCTGCGGCCGCCGCTGCCCCCGGACCCACTCTGCCTGCACAACTCGTCGCTCTTCGCGCTGCAGAACCTGCAGCCCTGGGCCGAGGACAACAAGGTGGCTTCCGTGTCCGGGCTCGCCTCGGTGGTGTGAGCGACGCCTACCCGACCGGCCGAGAGCTCTCTAACGGACTGAGGCGCCGCGCGGAGCGCCCGGCCCAGGACCATGGAGCGCGGCTGACCACGCCGTGGTGCCGTGGTTCCGTGGTAGCGGAGCTGGTGAGGAGGAGCTGGCTTTGAGGCTGTCGTCGAGGGCTCCACGGCCGCCGCGGGCTCCCAGGCTTGCGTTTCGAGGTTGTGCCGCGCTTTTAGACGTGGCCTTTCCCGCCATTTCCCACTTAACTGCGGTCGCAAGGCAGCTGGAACCCGAGGAGCCCAGAAGGCGGGACTTGCGGTATGGTAGCCAATGAGGTGAGGGGAGGGGGCGGACTGGCCAATGGGAGCTGCTCTCCCGAGGACTTTGGATTCTTCGGAGGGTGGGTTCAAGCTGGGGTTCTGGACCCACAGAGCAGCCTAAAGGTGGTGCTGGGAAGGGATGGCGGCAGCTCGCACGGCCTGGGTCTGTATCAAAGGTGCGAAGGAAGGAAGACACCAATGACAGCGGAATAATGGAAGAGGAGCTAGAGGGCAAGGGTCTGACTGTGACAGGAACCGAGGGTTATCCACACCAGGCATCTCATTCTTCAACTGTAAAATAATCGCTAAGGATACCTTTCTGACTTTGAACCTCATGTTGTGTGTGTTCAACCTTCTGACTCCCCCTCCTCCTTGAGCCTCACAACACGCCTGGGTGGCAGGCAAGACGGATACTAACACACCCGACGAAACAGAGAATCTGGGGACACTAACACGTCTCTAGTCTCCCATGGGGACAGACAGAGGAAACGGGGAGGCAGTGGATAAAATTAATGGACCCCGTGGAGTTAGGCTGAGCAGATTTTGGCAAATAACTAGGACTATCCAAGAAGAATCAAAGATAATTCCAGGGTTGGAGATGTAGAGGATGGGGAGAGAAATGGTGTTGTGGATAATGAAGGGGAAATTGAAAGATTAGAGCAAGATAACTACAGGCAAAACTGAACGCCAGACCTAAAAAGAATACATTCTAGAAAAGTGCTTTTGGGGCAGGTTGGGTGACATCCACATAGGGGTGGAGATAGATGGAATGATGAGAACAGATAGACTCTCCAAGGGAAGACACTCTGAGGAGAGAAACAGAGTTCTGAGGATTAAATCTTTCTTTCCAGCAATTTCTACAAACACATTTACAATGTACAAGATGATGGAAGATATAAAAATTAATAATTTAAACGAAGAAAAGGGAAAGGAGTACCCAGCTGGGGAAAAAGGAAAGCATGATGTCTCTGAAGTTGTTAGAAAAGCTTCAGCATGCTGGTGGGCTAGGGGCTGCTGGGAAGCTTGTTGGTGGAAAATTGAAAGTTGGGGGATGGCTTCAATAGCCTTAAGGTTTAAGAAGGAGCTGGATCTAAGATGTATGTGGAAAACAGGGAAGATTTTGTCTGATTTCTTATAGCACTCTCATTCTTCCTCCCAGGTAGGTGGGAGCAAGATAAAGGCAAGTAAGCTTGGGGCAGGGTCAGAGACCATCTGTACTCAAACTACACATTTTCTGGGTTAGTGACAGCCAGGTCATTTATACCGCAAAAGGTTGCCCACAGGTGGGGCCAGGCAAGAAGATGTTGCTGGAGGAGTTGGATGATACCGTGTCGTGTCATCTCTAACTCATGGATCCTGTATGTGCTGCTGCAGAATCAAACTAAAATTTGGCACCACAGAGAAAGAACTTTTATAGATCAAAATGAAGTACACAAAGGTGGGTTTGGCATAAGTTAGGGGTTTGGGGGGTACATCAGTCATTCTCCAATAAATAGAAGAAGGCTAAGGAAAGGGTCCAACCTTATGTATACTGTGGCTTACCCAGTCTCCTCTATTCTCAGTCCACCATTTCTTGAGACTCGGGTTCTAGGATTTACATTTGACCCTAACCTTTGGTTGGCTACCTCAGTGCTAGCCTGAGAGAGGATCTAATGCCTTCACATGAGCTCAGTTCCACTCCTTAGGCAGGTCACTGCAGGACACAGGCATCTCCAAACTCTTGGGTGGAGGAGGATTCACTCTCTACTGAAGAATCTGCCATTTCTTCTCTCAGCTGATTCAGGAGGTCTCTGCTCTCGCTGGGAGGCAAGTTACTCAGGAAGTATGGAGGGGCCAACTCTACCAGCCTGACAGAGAGAGTCACAATTAGATGATTTCTGTACCCTCTCTTATAATGGAGATTCTTAAACTTCTTCCCATTCCTTCCACAAACCCTGTGCCCTTGAATCATATGTCACTACAGACTGCTAAGATATCCTCTTCTCCTTAAGGCTAACTCCCCAGCCATAATTTTGGCCCCAAGAAGAGGAATAGGCAATGTAAGAGGGGCATCAGGGAACTCACATTTGTGGTTGAATCTCAGAAACAATGGAAAGGCAGTTGTCTTTGGAAATGGAGAAAGTGTGGTAAAGAACCCATGGTGGGGGTCTGGTTGGAGACCTGCGGCTTCGGTAGCAGCAGTACGGGGAGAGCTGGGCCACGTGCTTATGGGTCAGGAGCAGATAATTTCCAGTCCCGTCTGTGTCTCGAGCCACCTCATTGAAAAGCAAAGACAGTGGAGGAGTAAGTGAGGTAGAAGAGGAAGGCAGTAGAAAAAAGAAAAGGGGGGTGCTGAGAAAGAATTAGGAAGGGCAGTGAGAGTATTAAAAGTAAAGCACCATCTCTAGGTGTTAAAGTCCCTGACATAGGGCATTTCCCATAGGCCCCTATACCCCAACACCTCAAAGGAAAAGTTTCTCCTGGTTCTAAAAAATCCTTTGAATGGTCACCCAGACCCCAGTTTCAGAGGTGGCATATCAATTTTTGGTCCCCCTGCTTTCTCCTACTTTTATGACCTTCGCCCCAACTCTTTCCCCTAACCTTAAGGAAGTATCCCGACAGCAGTGCTTTCTGAAGGTCTCTGCGATTCTGCTCAGAGCCAAAGGCTGGCTGGGACAGTGGAAGTTCAATTTGTTGCATGAGTTCTAGGAGGTCACCTCGAAGTTTCTGGGCTTGGCACAATGCTGCCCAGTTTAGTCCCCGAGCCTGGCACCAAGCCTTGTCTGCTCCACCTACAAAAGGAAAGGGAACAGCTACAGCTGCAAAGAGTCCCCCAAGAGAACCCAGCCCTTGGCCGAAGGGCCTCCTCCTCCTGGGCATAGAGATTTGCCAGCTGGTTGCACACCATTTCCCCTCTTTGGAAAAATCTGGCATTTTTTAAGAAGATGCAGAGTGGGCTACTCACTCTGTATAAAGGCTTCATACACCTGGATCAGAGAACTGTGATCACCATCTGTATGTTCCAGGGCCCGACGCAAGGCAGCTTCTTCTGCAGAGAGTGGAGGATGGGTGAACCCAGGAGCAGCTGAAGAAGAAGAGAGGAAGGTCGTTTTGGGGAATGAGAAAGGACAGCAGTACAGAAGGGTGAAAAGGTAGCAAGTGTCACTTTGGGAAATTTATTCAAGATATTGATAACTTTCTAGGTGCTCTGTACTTTATTAGACATTGAGGATAAATAAATGAAAGACAATCTCTACCCAAATAGCTTAGGGTCTGGTGAGAGAGATAAGCAAACCTGATCAGCACAACAGGTGTGTGGGCCAATATTTGAAGTTCTTTTTTTTTTTTAAGATTTTGTTTATTTATTTGTCAGAGAGAGAGCACAAGCAGGGGGAGTAGCCAGCAGAGGAAGAAGCAGGCTCCCTGCTGAGCAAGGAGCCTGGTGTGGGACTTGAAACCAGGACCCTAAGATCATGACTTGAGCGGAAGGCAGATGCTTAGCCAACTGATCCACCCAGGCATCCCAATATTTGAAGTTTTGTTAGGAATTAGCTCAATAGAGAAGGGGCAGAGAGAATCTGAACTGTGCACATGGCAAGGCACAGAAATTAGTAGTATGGCCTGTTGGAGACCTGCATGCACCTAGTACGGCTAGGGGGAATGGCATGTGAGGCAGACTGGCAGGAGAGAAAGCTGGAGAGGCAGGTGTGGGCCAGGTCACAAGAGGCTGGATGTGCTGTGCCAATGATGCATTCTGTCCAGAAGATAGAGAATAGCAGTTGAAAGAGTTTTGAGGGAAGAGAGTCTAAGTGTTTAAAGTTTACTTGAAAACATAGGAGGCATCCTGAGGGATCCTTGCTGAGTGGTGGTGAGGATCTAACATTGGCATTGCTAGTGTTGAGACAAATAGATGAATTTTAAAAAAACATTTTGGAGATAAAAATGAAAGAACCTGGGGAAAGATTAGTCTAGGATAATGGTAGCGGAGCTGCAGAGAGGATGGCATGATTCGGTGGTGGTGGAGAGCGAACAATTTAAGCAAGTGCTTGACTTCAGTTCCTGGCTGGCGCACTGTGGCCAATTCTGACAGAAATGTCCATTAGGCATCGGATATATACACCTAAGATTCAGAAAAATGGCACTGGCAGGGAGGTAGAAGGATTGGACATTTTAAGTGTAAAGATGGCTGTGCATGAACTTGCTCAGAGAGCTCAAGGAATGAGAAGGCAAAAGGTGCAAGGATGGAACTCTGAGGCCCGATTTACAGCAGAGGAACAGAGGACAAAGAGCCAGGGAAGAGAGGAAGGGAACTGCTGGACAGCCAGAGAAGCAGGATTAAAACCTGGCAGAGGGAGTCACAGAGTTTTAGGGAGGCAGCAGTTCCTTTGTTCGTTTGTTCCTTCCTCCCTCCCTCCCTCCCTCCCTTCTTTCTTTTTAAGATTTTATTTATTTATTTGACAGAGACAGCCAGAGAGGGAACACAAGCTGGGGGAGTGGGAGAGGGAGAAGCAGGCTTCCCGCTGAGCAGAGAGTCTGATGCGGGGGCTCGATCCCAGGACCCCAAGCTCATGACCTGAGCCAAAGGCAGATGCTTAGCACCCAGCCACCCAGGTGCTGAGGGGACAGTTCCAAGGCAGGAGTGGTCGGCATTTTCAAGTGTTAGAAGGTCATAAAGAATAAGGATGCAGAAGTATTCAGGGGGTTCAGCCTCCGTGGGGTGGGGGACGTCCCGGCTGAGCTGTGGGATTTGTCAGTGCTGTGTGCCGATGGCTGTGATGCAGTGGGCAGGGACACACCGGGGCCTGGGGTAGAGATGATTCTGTATAGTTGCAGGGCAGTAGAGGGTGGAGGGAGAGCAGTGTGCAGGTCTAGTAATAACAGGAGAGATTTATGCACCTTGGGGGCAAGAACGAGAGTTGGGAGGAGGCTAAGGAGACAGGAGAGGGCTGAGTGGTTAGGGCTGGTTTTGTGGGCACTGCGAGGGAAGCCGAGGGGCAAGAGCTGCCATTTGGAGCAACAGAAAGGGCTGAGAAGGGCTGAAGTGGCGGCAGGAGTTAGAGAGAGAAGTGATTCATACCAGTGAGCATGGCAGCGAGGGTGAGCATCTCGTCTACACAGTCAAACTCGCAGGAGGCCAGCAGGGCTTTGGCCAGCTCGGGGGGCAGCGGGAACTCTGACAGGATGACCCCCAGGTCTGAGAGGTTCCCATCATCATCCAGGGCTGCCAGGTAGTCCAGGTCTTCCAGGGCCTGCATCAGGGCTTCTGGAGCTGGTGAGGAAAGAGGGCTGAGCGGGCAGGGAGTATCGGAGCCTGGAGGTCAGACAGCAGGACCTGGGGGGTGGGTGCTCACCAGGCCGGTCCAGGAAGTGACACTCCCCAGGCTCTGCAATCTGTCTTCTCTTTAGAAGTAATACCACAGGGCTCAGATTCTCCTCACATATCCTGGCTGTGGGCAGCAGGGGCGCCTCTAGTTCTAGGAAGGACTTAGGGTACAGGCAGAGGCAGGACCCTGAGAGGAGAAAGACCTGGGAAAGAAGGCCACTGCAGATTTCTTGGGTTTGTGTATGGGGATTCTTTTCATGTTTGATCTCAGTAGCGCAAAGGCTCTTACCTGGTGGGAGCCCTCTTGCCCGCAGTCTTCTTGCCTCTGCCTGACACTTGCTGATTGGTCTCAACACTTGGGATTCTGCTCGAATCTGAGGACTGTACACCTGTCACCGCCCCCCACAACCAAGGCCAAGACAGATCAGAGTGGGCCACTTCTATCCTTAGCCCCCACATCCCCTCATCTCTCTCACTCACACTTCGAAGCTCCAGTCCTGAGTCAATGACATGTCGGATGGAAGGGAGGGAGAAGGAGAAGTCAGCCAGCCAGTGAGTGACCACGACCTTTCGGGCACCCAAGTCTGTGTCCTCGTATGCAGCCTGAACGGCTGGGCCACATCCGGGGTGAAGGGGCAGCACCCGTGGTGGAGGCCCCCTGAGAGCCAAGGGCCCCACCTCCCTGGACAAGGATTCACAGCACAGCAAAATTTCCTGAAGGGAGGGGTGGGGCATTAAGGCAGTTCTCACCTTTTTAGTGACAAACCCCTTTGAAAAAACTGATGAAAGCTATGGCTTTTCATTCTGGAAAAATGCACATAAAGTTGTCAAAATTTTAGGAATTCACTGAGCCATAGTCTCTGTGTTAGATGGGTGGTAGACCTCTTTATCCCCAAATCCTTCAGTTTTTCCTGAGGACTCCAACATAGTAAATACTACAACTTCAGTGTTCCTAATAAGCATTGCTCCAACTCCCCCAGGAAAGGAAGGCGGCATACGTGAGGACCTCCTTCTGCAGCCCACTTTTACCTCCTCACTGGGCAGGTACACCAGCACATCTCCTGGAGCCTCCTTCATACACAATTCAATCACAGCTTGGCAGGCAGTTTCCACTCGATCGGTAGGGACAGTGTCCCTGTACACAGGTGTGGGACACATGCCAGACCGTCTGGGTACATGCACAGTAGGAGGGTTGCCCCAGAAGGCTTGGAGCTTGGGTTCAAGGGCAGGGTCAGTAACCACAACCACTCTCGAGTCCCCTGGAAGGTTTCCCAGCCCGGCATTTCGCAGGAGCCCCTGGAGCAAGTCCGAGGCCACTGACCGCTCCTGGGCCTCATCCAGCACCAGCACACCCCAGGCTCCTGTGCCCCGGGTTGAGGCTACCTCCTGCAGAAGCAGCCCGTCCCAGCAGAACCTGTTGACATTGGCAGTAGGCAGAGGAGTCAGGGTGGACACTGAACAGCTCCAGAAACCCAGGGGAACATCTGCCTGGGGGGCCTAGATTTTGATAGCAAGGTCAGAAAAAAAGACCTTGTGAACCTGTATTGAGACCCACAACCTCACTGATGATGCTTTTTTCGAAAGCTGTACTCCAGTTGGGCAGGTGAGGCCCCTGACTGGGGTTAAGGGCTTAATTCAGCATTGTGTTGTGCATGATCTAAAGGGTAACATGGGCTGAGGGAGCATTGAGTGAGGTGTCAGAGGTCTGGGCTTGTTTCTACTGGGTGAGGAAAATCAGATTTGGGTCAGGCCTGCCAAGAGGCCTCACCTGAGTAGGGTGTCTGGCCCTGTGCAGTCCTCTTGGGGAATGCTGTATCCAACCTCATGACCCAGGGTTAGGTCCATCTCATCGGCAACCCGCATGGCCAGGCTCAGGGCTGCCAGAGGGTGGGGCTGAGTGACAGTCACTCGGCCTTCCTGGAACCCCCTGGCCAGTGCAAACTCTGCACACCACTGAGGGATCTGGGGTAGGAACAGGAAAGGACAAGCAGTCAGCGAGATGCTGGACTTCAGTCAGAAGTACAGGGGGACCTGTGGCCATTTTCATTTGGGGAGTCCCCCGGTCCTTCAACAGCCCCCTGGGCTTTGACCACTCCCCTGGAACCCCAAGCAGCCCAATCCCCACCTTGCTAGGGGAAGGACCAGTTCTCTAGTCCCTCCCTTTGTCTACTCCCAGAATCTCCCCCCACCTGGGTACTCTTGCCAGAGCCAGGCTCTCCAGACACCAGCACCACTCCACCGGGGCTACTCTCCAACTGCTCCAAGAAGGTAAAGCGAGAAGCCCAGATGGGTAAGGCTCGGCGCTGCTCAAGCAGCTCGTAGTAGCGGGAAGAGAATGGGAGCCCATCAAAGGGGTTCACAGCCAATTCATACTCCCCGGGGTTTGGGCCAGTCTCTTCTGCCAGCCCAAGACGCTGAGAGGCCATGGTAGCTGACTGGTAGTACCTACAGAAGGCAGGGCAGTGATTAAGGCCTTGTATTAGATGACTGACACCAATTTCCCACCCTTGATCCCTAACCTGTACCCTCAGGCGGTAATGCGCTGGGGTCCATCCTTCCCAGCATTTCTTGCCTGCCAGGAAACAGTGACTTGAATCTGAAAGTGAGGGACGATCAGAAGTGGACTATTAACCTGTTAGTCAGGTAGTAAAAATCCTGTGACTAACACAGGGGGCCTCCAGGGCAGCAGGAATTATGGTAACCTGCGGGAGGTCCTGAGGGGAAAAGCCTAAAGAGATAAAGAATAGAAGGGAGAGGGTAGGAACCGGGGAGCAGGGCCACAAGGATCCTGGATTCAAACCTGCTTGCAGCTCTGAGACGTGTCACAACGGCAGCCAGGTCCAGACCCACCCAGCCACTCACCACCAACCCAGACCGAGTGAAGTACAAGGGTCAATTCCGGCTCCACCCTGGGGCTTGGCTTAAATAGGAATCCTTAAGCCTGGTTTTGGGGTGTGGCCATTTGCTCCACCTTATTTAATCTGTCAGAAGCCTATGGAAAACAGGTTCCAGATCCCACACCCAGCATGTGTGTGCTATAGTGTACACTGTGTTTGTTTGTGAAAGGCATCTTGGGACTTGTAGTTTTGCAGCTGTGTCTTCACAAAACTGGGCTGAACACCCAAGCTAGGGTCCAGCTGCTACTGGTCTTCAGTTCAGTTACACTTCCACAGTATCACTCATTTCTTGACACGAAGGGATGATTTCAACCACTTCTCACAAACCCACAAAGGGGCTCTCACTGCTATTCCCCCACAACCAGGGTAAAAGGAACCTGCTCAGTGGGCTTTTGAGCCCCAGAGAGGCAACAGAGACTTGAGTGAAAACCCTGAATTTAATATGATTTTGCGGGGAGCCCCATCCCTCCCTTTTTACCACCCACCCTTCCAGCCAGTTTTAAGTTGGGTGAGGGCTGCCCCCAGTCTCCGTCCTGCGGCTCTGGGTGCCATCCTGTGCTCAGTCAGCCTCCTGGGCCTGTCTCTCTGTGAATCTCCTGCGAGACATAGGAAGAAGACATTGTGTGGGCTTTGCCACATTAGCCCTATGATTAGCTCTCTTCTCCAGCCTGCCCCTTCCTACCCACTGTCCTCTTAAGCCCCTCACCTTCTCGCATATTCATAGAGTGCCTGCTTGCGCTCCTGTAGGCTCTCCTGCCGGGCCCAGGAGGACTTGGCAAATGTGAGGGCTGTGGGCTGAGGGGTCACCGGGCCAGAGCTGGGGAACTGAGGTGATCACAATGTCAAAGGGCTTGCGAAGTCATCATCATTAAACACGCATCGAACGCCTACTTTGCAAGAAAGGCACTGTGCTAGGGTCTCAGGATCAAAAGAGACATCAAGGATAGGGAGTATGTAGACTGCCCATCCCAGCCCTAGTCCTGGACCCTACCATTTCCTGGGTCTCACCTTGGGGGTGGAGGCTGTGGGAAGGGACTGGGTCCCTTCAGTGATATCTTCAGGCATGAACGCCACAGCTCCCTCAAGCAGATTAGTGATGGTCAAGTCTACACAGCCAGTTCTGGCTGGGGGGAAGGGAAGAGAGAAGAAGGGAGTCTGTTTTCCTGCTCACCTTTTCCCCTCACCACCCACTTTTCCTCTCTGCGTCTGTCTCCTGTGTGAGGCTACCCTTTCCCATACCCAGGTCTCTCTGGATGACGCCCAGTGGCACATGGGGTAAAACCTCCTTGACTCTCTGAGCCAGAGTTGCCAGCTGCACATCAGGAGAAGGGCCAGGGGAGGGAGGGAAAGAAGACTGGGCTGCAAAAAAGAAATCCGAAACATGGTGAGTGGAGAACTGGGAGGAAGGTGAGACTGACTAGCACAGGAATAGGAAGGGAATCACAACAGGCTGAGAAAACCCAAACAACTTTGTGTATAGAGACTACACACCTGACTGAGGGCGCAATCTGGGGTGTCTTTGTCGTTTCATGTGCTCTGCTTTGTCTGCTGGAGTGAGTCGTGTCCCTGTCTGGCCCAATTCTTTGGCCACCAGCTAGGGAGAATTGGAAGGTTGGAATTGTCAAGGTTTCAAGACTTCCTCTCCCTACTCTTAAAGAAAAACCCCACCTCCACCCTGCCTGTGTACCCTACCACCTGTTGTACACGGAGGGCAAACTCCTCATTCCCCTCCCCCAGCTGGCGATGAACAGGACGGAGCCACCTGCAAAAAAAAAAAAAAAAAAAAATTCCAGGACCATGTTGTGTATGCCTGGGGTAGAGGCTGTCACCCTCTCCCCACTTTGATACTTCTTCTCATGTAACAGTTGTAATCAGGGTGGGAAAACAATACACACTTTGTATTGCTTCTGTGATAGAACCTTGAAACTAAGATCTGCAAATGGACAGGGAAGAGACAACCTCCCTGACCTTGAGGTGAGCTTCTCCCAGCCACCAAAAAGTGAAGACAGTTAATACCTTACTTGATACACCGTGAAAGGAACGAAAAGTGACCACAGCAGTTCTGAGACCCAGGAGGCATCGGACACCGTCTGAAGGGAGGGCATGAAGTGCAGTCTAAGCCTGGGCCAGGAGTGGGAAACTTACCCTCCAAGCCCCAGAGATTTCCTGTCCAACACACACTCACCACAGAGACTAGGGGTCTCTGGACTCGCAGGGTAAGAGGTTGTACCACATCCTGAATAGAAAATGGCCAGGAACTGGAAGATGGAAGAGAGAATAGGATGGGATTCTAGCCAGCTGGTCAGCACCTGACTCAGAACAGAAAACCGTCAAACTGTACGAGTAGATAAATGAGGAATAAAGAGGTACAAGAGGAAAAGAACTAAAAGCGAACACAAAAGAAATAAACTAAGAGGGAAGAGGTAGGGCTGAAAATTGTGAAAACTCAAGGGCCCCCAAGCTTCACCACCTACCCAGCTGGAGACCAATACCTGTGCTCACCCACCTGAAGCGCAGGAGCCCCTCCCGGCCATTGGTGGCCTCTTCCTCAGGGAATAGCAGCAGAGGGGTGGGGGGAAGCCTCGTGGAAGCACAGAATCTCTTGAGTGACTCCACCAACTCCCCCCGCCCATCCATCTCCATGAAGCCTCGAGACCAGCACACAAAACTTGGGGGACTATTGAGTAGAGGCTGGGAATCGAAAAGAGAGAAGGCAAGAAAAGAACATTGGGAAGTGAGAAAAACTGACATGTGGGAGTAGAGAAGTGGAATTAGGGGTCAGGCTCAGTATTTCGTGGTCCCCAAGGGAAACGCGGGCGGGCAAAGGGGAGCCTCGGGCTGGGTCCCAGGGAACCGCCCCGTGGAGCTCTCGGCTTCGCCCCCCACTCACGGTGCTACAGCTGGTGAGCAAGTTGACTATGTTATGGTCGAAAGGCGTCACGTGGTTGGAAATGAGGACCCTGACGCGGTGATCCCGGAGTCCGGAGTCCTCCTGCCGGGCCACGAGCCCCAGCACCGCACACATGGTCCGCACCACGAACCTGGGGAAGCAGGCAGTGGTGACTTGACGGCCTCGGGCCGGGCCCAGCCCAGACCCTCCCGAAATCCCGGGGTCCTTACCTGCGAAGGACACTGTCTGGCAGAGCGCAGCTGACCAGGAAGACGTGGATCCCAAGAAAGAGGCGCAGGACGAGAAGGCAGAACCCGACTGGAGCGTAGAGCAGCAGCGCGAGGAGCAGGAAGCCGTCACCCGGGAGCCTGGGGGCGAAAGGCGGGGTGATCGGGCGCCGAAGGCCGAGTGGACTTGGGAGCCGGCCTCTTTCCGCCAGGGCTCTTACCGGTGCGAATCAAAGAGCCGCTCCGGCCCCAGCGCGGGGGAAGGATCCATAGCTGCTGCTTTAGGACCGTCTGGCCGCCGCCGCCGCCATCTTCGCGCCCCGCCGCAGGGGCTCCTGGGAAGGCGGAGTCTTCGGGCATCCGCCCAGGGTGCCGGCACCCGAAGTCTTGAGGCGCCCCGGAAGGGTTAGCGGTCCCGGCATGCCTCGCGGGCCCTTGGGCCACCTCATAACTCGTGTCCCGCGGGGACCACAATTCCCGGCATTCGCGCGGCGGGGGCGGAGTCGGCCTCCTGGAATCCTGGGTCCCGGCGTGCACTTCTGGAGGACTTCAGGTACCGGCGTGCCCCGCGTCCCTCTGTCCGCCTGCTCGCGTTCAGGGCACCGCCTCTGTGTAGGGCGGGCGAGAAGGCAGCCGAGGCGGAGCTGATGGCTGCACTGAGGGCGGGGCGGGGTGCAGGCTGGAGCCTCCGGGGATGGCGGGCTTTGGGGGGGGTTCGCTGGGGGAAGGGACCCCTGTTGACCCCTGACCTCCGGGCCTTGCTGACGTCAGGAACTCCTGACTCTCGGGCCCGAGTGACTTATGGGACCCCCAGTCTTCGGGCCCGGTTGTCTGTGGGGGTCCCTGAACCACGGACATGTCTGACGTCGGGGGCTTCGGATTCCCGAGCACGGCTGACTGCAGGGACCCCAGATCCCAGGACCCGGGAGGTCTCAGGGACCCCTGGAACCCGTTCGCGCGTATGGCTGGCGGTGGCGCTGGGCGCTGGGGGGGCAGTGCTGTTGTTATTATGGGGCGGGGGTCGGGGTCCCCCAGCGGTCCTCGCCTCGGTCCTTGGCCCGCCGCCCACCTCTCCCCGGAGCCAGTACAACTTCATCGCAGACGTGGTGGAGAAGACAGCACCTGCCGTGGTTTATATCGAGATCTTAGGCCGGTAACGGTGGGGAAGAGCGGAAGGCACCCAAGCCGCGGGCTAGAGGGCGGGCGAGCAGGGGTCTGAGCCTTCTTACATCCTTGCTTTCCCCCATCCCAGGCACCCTTTCTCGGGCCGCGAAGTCCCTATCTCAAATGGCTCAGGATTCGTGGTGGCTGCCGACGGGCTCATCGTAACCAACGCTCATGTGGTGGCTGATCGGCGCCGGGTCCGTGTGAGGCTGCTTAGCGGCGACACGTATGAGGCCATGGTCACAGCTGTGGATCCTGTGGCAGACATTGCCACGCTGAGGATTCAGACGAAGGTGGGGCTCTGGGCGGGCTGGGGCTGATTGAAGCTGTGAATTTGCTCACATCTCCGTGTGACGGGTCTGTTATATCCATTCTCCCTCAGGAGCCTCTCCCCACACTACCCCTGGGACGCTCAGCCGATGTCCGGCAAGGGGAATTTGTTGTTGCCATGGGAAGTCCCTTTGCACTGCAGAACACGATCACTTCTGGCATTGTCAGCTCTGCTCAGCGTCCAGCCAGAGACCTGGGCCTCCCCCAAACCAATGTGGAATACATCCAGACTGATGCAGCTATTGATGTGCGTTCTGACATAAGAAAAATGAAAACTAGGTTGGGGGCTGGGGGTGAGGCTGTGGGGTGCAGGCACCAACTGTGATAGATGGTGCATGAGCCTATATACAGAGGTTGGGCTGGGAAAGGAGAGAATTTGGAGAAAGTGCCTACATCCTGGTCATGCCCCCAAGCATAGAGTCCCTGGATTTCTTCCATATTTTCTCCTTGTCCTGCAGTTTGGAAACTCTGGAGGTCCTCTGGTTAACCTGGTGAGTGGGACACCCTTCTTTCCAAGAATCCCTGCCCCAGGTCAGTGTGAGAAGGGGTGTGCTTCCCCTAATTCAGTGATGTTTGGTTAAGTTTCTGAGAAGTTTCCTGTTGGCTATCTCCCCAAATCCAGTCAGGTCTCCCCAGCTCCCCAATACTCCCTGCTACTCTTGTTCAGGTATCCCCATCTCCTAATAGGTGTCTGGGCTAGGGAATAGTGGGCTGTATCCCTGCAGGATGGGGAGGTGATCGGAGTGAATACCATGAAGGTCACGGCTGGAATCTCCTTTGCCATCCCTTCTGACCGCCTTCGGGAATTTCTGCATCGTGGGGAAAAGAAGAGTGAGCCTGTCTTGGGATGGGGGTGGGAATTCCTTTAAGTAGTGGGAGGGGCATCCACTGGGCTTTGCTTGGGGGGTGGTCTACTGGGAGGAAAGGGTGGGGGAAGGAAGGAGTTAGCTGGGTGAGGCTCATTTGTCCCTCTATCACAGATTCCTGGTTTGGAATCAGTGGGTCCCAGCGCCGCTACATTGGGGTGATGATGCTGACCCTGACTCCCAGGTATGAGCTTTAGGGGTAGTGACCTGTAGGACCACCAGTGTATTCAGTTGTGGGCAGCTGGCACTTCTGTTGAGCTTTGTTCTCAATTTTATGTTTATCTAAGATAAGTTGCCTCACATTTGGGGCTATCAGAAGAGCTGTTCTCTCTCATGATCTTGACTTTCTCACTCCAGTCCATTTTGTACACCTGCTACCAGATGGATTTCATCCTATTACTGCTTTGATTTAAAAACTTCAATCCATTAATGGGGTGTTTAGTGGCCATTTTCCATTTGTCTCCAATTTAACCATCCAGATATGGCTTCTTACATGAATATATTCTGTTCCAGCCAACCTGATTTCCTACTCCCGTGGTTTTATTTCTGTCATTCTTACTTTATATAGTTAAATACCAGAACCATTCTTCTAGGCTCAGCTTAAGTTCTACTCTCTCTTTAAAGTTTCTCTTAGGATTCTAGAATGACGTTAGTGTTATTGATTTAATACTATATATCACTTGGAATTAGTTACCTTTTATATACATGTCCCACTTCCTAACTTCCAGAAGGCAGAGAGCCAGTTGCCTTTGTATCAGGAGTATCTAGTGCATGGCCTTGTCCATGCAGTTGTCAGTGTGTTGATGCAAGATTTGAGGTGAACGCAAGATGGGGAGAGTGACTTGGTGTGGTTAACAGAGTGATGTCTGTCCTTTCAGCATCCTTGCTGAACTACAGCTCCGAGAACCCAGCTTTCCTGATGTTCAGCATGGTGTGCTCATCCATAAAGTCATCCTGGACTCCCCGGCACACCGGTGAGTGAGGTGGGGATGGGTGAGGTGTGCATGTGCCCTTGACCTGGGCTGTCTATTCCCTCCTTTCTTTCTCTGTCCATCTTTCACCATAGGGCTGGTCTACGGCCAGGTGATGTGATCTTGGCCATTGGGGAGCAGCTGGTACAAAACGCTGAAGATATTTATGAAGCTGTTCGAACCCAATCCCAGCTGGCAGTGCGCATCCGGCGGGGACCGGAAACATTGACCTTATATGTGACCCCCGAAGTCACAGAATGAGTGGGTCAGCAGGCGTATGAGTCTCCTGATTTCCACCTTGCTTTCCTGGCCTAGGCTCTGAGGGTACCTGGACAGAGGACTAAATGAACCAGTGGGGGGCAGGTCCCTCCAACCACCAGCACCAATCCCTGGGCTCTGAGGAATCATAAAAATGCTTTTTATATAAAATAAAATTATACCTAGCATTATGTTATAGTCAAAAATAAGGGGGGGGTACTGATCTTCTCCCCCACAAAAAGGTTAGAGGTAAAGCTGTATCCCCCTCTCCCCCTCAACTGAGGGGAGACACTGGAGCTGACCATTCTGACCTCCCTTTGCAAGAAAACCAGCTGCTCCTGTCTGTTGTTCTGGGCAGTTAATCAGGTGCTGCTCTTTGTTGTGTGCTTGGCTCGGTGCTGGGCCCGGGAGCAAAAATTCCCCATGCCTGGCCACAGATCCGGCAGCTGGCCTGGGAAGGAGGGCGATAACCTCGGCTTGAGAGTTCCACATCCATAGCACACACTGGATGAGTGCGGCGGGTCTGCTGACGTCAGGGGTTCCTTGGTAAGCTCCTGAGGTAATGGCAGCCTCAGACCCCTGCTCTTAGGGGCCAGTGGTGGTTTGTGGAGGAGGGTGGCGGCACCTTAGACGATCTGGTTGCTGGTCTGGCCAGGGTAGCGCTCAAACCTCCGGTTGGCCTCTTCACTGAAGGCATCACCTACAAGGTGAATGGGTGGCTTAGATGGGGAAACAGACCTGCTGGGGGGAAGGGTGGGTAGAAACAGAGAGGCTGGGAGATCCAGAGGCGGGTGGGAAGACACAGAACCCATGTAGGCAGATGGGAATGATGGTCTTTCCCTCCCAGCCTCTCTGGGCTCCTCTTCCCACCAGATACCAATGTGGCAGTTGTGCACCCAGATGCGGTGCCCGTCGTATTTGCAGTTACATTTCATCGCATTGTTGGTGAAGTCGCTTTCTGCTACTTCAAAGTTGGGGTTGATGACCACCTGTATGAGTGGGGGAAAGGCAGCATAACCCATTGCGTTCCTCAGATCCAAGGGTGTCTTTAACAAATATCCCTCCCCCTTGGCAGCTGGAACTCAGGCCCCTGGCACCTGCAGAATGTAGTTTCCTGGCCTCACATCTGTGATGTCAATCCACTGGCAGTCGATGTCATGCCGGTACAGATCCCAGCAGCCCACAGTAATGCCCTGCTCTCCAAAATTGGCACACTCATACCTCTTGGAGACATCTGAGAGGGATTGGCACATGTCAGTGTGAGGCACGGCTGTGGGATGGAGGTACCGACGTCTGCTCCAGGCCCAACTCACCCTCCTGACATTCGGTGTCTTCTAGACAGAAGCTAGCTTTGTGGCCCTCAGCCACCTTGGTGCCATTGGGGGTCAGGATATCATAGTGAGTGAAGATGTCCATGCTGTGGTAGTGCCTGTGGGGACAAAGGGACCCCTGTTGCCTTCCCTACCCCCAGCAAGCTTGCCCCCTCACCAGGGACCTTGCCCTTCTGCTTGCACGGCTCACCCATGACACTCGTGCCACACCCAGGAGTGGCGCCCAGCCTTGGGCCTGAAGTCAGCTCGTCCCAGGTTGTGGATCTGGGAGGAGAACCGGAGGAGACGCCTGTGGCCATAGGGCCAGGGGGCCGAGCGGGCCGAGCGGGCCAGGCAGTTCTCCTCCGCAGCGCAGTAGAGCATGTGCAGGGGCCGGTCCTCAATGTAGGCCGTCTCCTGCACCAGGGCCGAGTGCAGTAGTAGGTCTGATGCAGCTGCCCCAAGGAAGGAAGCAG